TGTGGATTATGTGAGCTCCGCATACAATTCCTATAAGTGTCCTTCCAAGAGAGGTGTTCAATTTTGCATAAACGTTATTAACTCCTTTTCTATTTTTTCTTCCAAAATTGCAGTTAGTATTGTCCCCACAAAACGCTGCAATTTTTGACGTCAGTTCGTTTTTAGTCAATACTTGTTTTAAATAATCCACAATTATATCTGATGTTTCACCCGGTTGCTCTTGAAATTCTAAAATCTTTACTTGCACTCCTTCATACGGTAAAAAGTAACGGACTAAGACAGTTAATAATTTTGTAGGATCATGGTTTGAAGCGTCCGTAAGTAAAGTAATGCAATTCGCTTTACGGAGATGGTCATTTAACTCATGTATTGTCATAGGCGCCAAAACATTTACAACAATAGCCTCGGACTTCGTGCGAGCACATCTAAATTTTTGCTCGAAACATGTCTGTATTAATCTTGACGCACAATCATTCGAAAAAAAGCTATGACTTTCCTGCACAGTATGATAAGCCCAAGTGGCTTCAGCCGCAACAACTTCAAAAAGAAGGTGAATCCGTTTTTTTGAAAAATTTGTGCATTGATGAACTTGAAGTAGCAGCATGGTCGGATAATTTGTGTTTTTCTGACCGTAAATGTTTTTCAATATCACCATCACCACCATGTGCGACACTAAAATCTGTACGATACTTTTCACACGTGACGTCGGAGGGATCACTTCTTTGTTTCACAAACGGATACTTGGTTTTTAATTTATCATTAAATGTACACTTGCGTTTGGGCATTTTAAAAACTAAAAGATCACGTAAAGTCGTAAAGAACGTTAGCTAACTCGAGGTACAGGTGTACAGAGCGTGACAAGGCCACGGAACAACTAAGATAATAATATTATGTGTATGTATTCGGCTGTATTCCATTTATCGCCGATTCCCGCAGTTGACGTGGTGGCAGCGACAATAACAATAAGATAGTTATTTTTGTACTATTTTTATCTATGGACTATGGGTTTGAGTGTTTTACGTAATACATATATATATATATTACGTAGTTATACTATACGTCTATACGACTATACAGTATAATAGTATAAATAATGTATGATTGTGATTTGTGATCAATAAAATAAAATACTAAAAAAAATTTAATAAAATTTAATACTTACCACAAGTTGACTTTTCTTAAAGCGGGACATTTTTAGGTTCTTTGGGGACACCGGGACACTTAGCTCGAAAGCGGGACGTATGGTCACGTTAGGTATGTCTTAAAAATTCCAAATTCTGAATAAAATTTATGTTAATAAATTCAACGGACAGTGTGGAACTACGATGCAAAGAATTGTATGCAATATTCACTTCAGCAATAATGACCATTGGGTAATCATAAAACATTGTATGGTACATTGGTAGCGGTTATAATGTATATTATTTCTAAGGTTGGGCAATTCATATCAAACGTGTTAAATAAAAAACTACAATGTACAGAACGGTTTGAAACATGGAGTTAATAAAAAATATAGTCTGTGCAGGTACTTCATAATCATTATTTATGTCTACTGAGTATGAAAGAAAGGTATGCGTGGAAGCTACTAACTCAAAAATTGAGGTATATTAATAATGTCACAAAATACAACAAAAAGTGTATTAAGCATTGAAGTTTGCACAACAAAGTATTGAAATATAATAACGGCGGATGCCTTATGAACCAAATTAATACAAAATAACAATTGCTTACAACTCGAAAGATGTGGAGTTGGAAGTAGTATATCATGTTATCACGTCACACATAATATCATATAGTTGGTATATTTTAACACTAATAATTTTTGTAATGTGTATAAATAAACATTTAAATGACCTAAAAGATAGAGGACATTATGTAATTACATAAGTATGTATTCATGTACCTACTGATATTGCGGTACTTTTAAATGTTTAATCAAAACTAAGAACCTAAGAGTTCCTAACCTTTAGGACATCCTAACTTTCTTAATGCTACATGTAGCTGAAACACAATTTAATAGCAATTAAAAAAATATTGAATATTAATAAAACAAATGTATCCAGTCACAGCCGAGCGCGTTGTAGGTTTGTAGGTTTTGTACAAAATATCGAGAAACTTTTTAGCATGCCTGATGTATACTACACATATTTAGAATAGTGAAGTAAACGAAGTGTAATGATGAGTACAAACAACTTAAAAATAATTAGAGCACAGTGAATAAAGCATTGAAATTAAGTAACTATATGTTTGACAAATAACAAGATATCTGGCAAACCACAAATACTAAACATGTTAGCCATTGGTTGTGCATGTGTGTGGAGATGTACGCACTTCATTATTGCACATGGAATTTTTCAGTGAAAAAAACCTACCAAAATATTATCATTACATGAGATGATACAATAGTGTATACAATTAATAACGGTAATCATCAACATGTCAGTAGCATACATTATGCAAATACACTGCAATTTCTGATAATCTTGTTAAAAATTATACTAATATGGACATGATAATGAATTGTGAAATATGGTTAGAGTAGTCATCTATATTATTATATGAATATTGTCTTACTCGTGTTGATCTAAGTATTAATTAAGCACATAACATAGCATACATTGAACTATATCAAAACAGTTGAACGTTGCTCATTAAAATAAAATCTAGTATAATGTTTGTGTTCAACATGTCTCAAATCAATAATATAATAAGTCTCTAATCAAAATGTAACAGTATTAATATGTACTATCTGTGAGTAAATTCAAACTACAGAAATGTGTGTGCGCCTAGCAATGTCTAGTTGATGTCGGTTTATTTGAAGAAAATAGCTCAGTTGACAAATAATAAATGTAATTAGATAAGTTTACATGATATGAGACCCAGAATTTAGAATTGTTTTTTGTGCGGTAAGGTCAGCCAAAGCATGACTAAACGTAAACATTATGTCACTGGTATAAAAATAATAGCTGTGAATATCAATTAATATATTATGTTTTACAAATCGAATCATGACCAAGTCTATGATTTATCATGGATTTATAATATACATCGGTCAGTTCAAAATATCCATCGCACGTTATTTATTCTTTATTATCCTCGAGTACATACAGGCATGGATTAACGTATAGGCAAAGTGCAAAGTAGGCATTTGCCTTAGATGGCCGAAATTTTAGGGACGCTTGAGAAGTCGAGACGAGAAATAATATAGAATGACATATTTATGGATAACATAGAAACTAACTACACACACAAAAAAAAAAAGGTCAATATGTAATTGAAAAAATATTACAAAATTATGAAATTACGCAGACATAATATTATTAATAAAATATATTAGTTATAAAAATACGTAGGTAATCCACTTCCAATTATTTAAAAATAAATGAGAATATGTGGCCTGTGCAGCTATTTTGAGGCAGCAGTATATTGTTTAACCATGGATAAGTATATTATAGAATAGATAGGCAACTCCCATGTTCTAAAAACGAACCGTTTAACAGCGCTCCCGGTGGTTGTACGAGAAAACTAAAACAACGCTACCATCGATAGTTATTGTTATATCGATAATACAGCTTATCGATAATTAACTACTATTACTATCGATGTTTTTTTCTAGAAATAAAATTGTTGGTAAGGAATCAGTGATAAAAAAAAAATTATTTTCTAATAAGAGATCATTTTTATTAAGTAGTTATCAAACAAACAATTGCATAGTTGTATACAAATAATTTAGAATAAATATAAAATCACAATTAGAAGTAATGGAACATTAAATATATTATATATATATATATAATAATAAGCATAATATAATATAATATAGTACATTTGATTAATAATAAGAAAAAATGAAATATAAAACTAATATTCATATTATAATATAATAAATAAGGTTAATAAGATAAATGAATATAAGGTAAATAATAAATTGAAGGTTTCTAAACTAAATGTGTCAACTCTTGTAATTAGAATTATTACAACTGTTACAATGTTATTAGAAGCAATAAAAATTATATACAAATTACATAATTTTGTTACATGATGCGGTTAGGTAACCGCATGTTAGATGTACCTTATAGACAAAAAGATACATTGTTAGCTGATCACGTTATTCGCATTCACAGATACAGAGATCCTAAAGAAGAAGATGGTGATCCGTTCAAAATAAATGAATGTGCGGATGTTTTGAGCTTGACAACTTTGGGAGATAATTGGTCCGGCATAGAAAAAAAAATGAACTCCCAATTTGTTTCAAATTATATAAAAATTGCGAAAGTCATAAAACCGGAAATGACCGTCTCGGCAACCAACAAAATTGCGGAAGAGTATGCAGCTCTAAGATGTTTGAATCCAGATGATAGGACGACATTACCTATAACTACAAGGACATTAGAATCTTTGATCCGTCTCTCGACTGCACATGCCAAAGCTAGGCTATCAAAGGCTGTGGAGTCGAGAGACGTTACAGCAGCAACAGAACTGATGAGGGCATCATATTTAAAAAAATATTAAACAATGTATATGTAATGTATATGTATTTACTTAAATAAAAAAAATGTTCAATGTACTTTAATAAAAAAAATGTTAACTGTACTTTAATAAAAAAAATGTTCACTGTACAGGGTTTTTATTTTTTTTTACATGTAAATGACGGGGAGGGTAGCTGGAGACGTGCTCCACCGTGCAGACCTATATGTATTTACCAGACATATTATAAAGTATTTTTTTCAAATTGTTAAAATCTATGGTGAGTAATAACATAAGAAAGATAGTATAACAAGTATGTAACACCTGCCTACCTTTTATATATAAAAGGTTCGAAGGTCGAACGTACCACCTGCCTACCTTTTATATACCAAAGGTTCGAACGTCGAACGTACCACCTGCCTACCTTTTATATATGGTTGTGGAGGGGATATTGTCTATATAACGAATTGACTACCCATATTAAGGGTCTTTCTTCATCAACATGACTTCCAAACGCACGCAAAAAATTTTGTCCTTACTCAGCGAACATGCAGTTGAGAAGAAAAATGCCGGAGAAGAAAAATCATCCACAGGAGTTCCCGATTATGTTTCATTCACGGACCGTAAGTATTACATTTAATATTATTTAATCTACCATCACCCGGCGTATTATATAGGCTCGCCCGGCGTATTATATAGGCTCACCCGGCGTATTATATAGGCTCACCCGGCGTATTATATAGGCTCACCCGGCGTATTATATACGCTCACCCGGCGTATTATATAGGCTCGCCCGGCGTATTAAATAGGCTCGCCCGCCGTATTATATACGCTCGCCCGGCGTATTATATACGCTCGCCCGCCGTATTACATACGCTCACCCGGGTGAGTCTATATAGTATGTAAATTCCAAAAATCGTATAAAATCAACCTTCCGACCGATCGTCCTGTAACTTACACAGATCGTAGCAAGTACCCTGGGCTACCATGCCTGTGATTTTGATCGATTTTCTTATTATTTTAGGTAATTTTCAACCAAATGAAACAAAATATGAGGATGATACACCATTAAAAACACATATAATGATAAACTGTCCATTTTGTAAAGAACATTTCATATATGAAATTACTCTTTTGGACCACATGATGGAAACTCATTTTTTATCAAACAACAATGACAAGAAATATCTCGCAAAAAATGAAGTACACATATTTTACATAAAATAATATTTTTATTGATAATCATTATTTTTTTTTTAATTTTTTAATTTTTTTTTTTTGTTTAATAGAATATGCTTATGATGATTGCTACAGCTATTTTAAATATAAAAGAGACTAAGTTTACAACAGAATCCTTACTATTTTATTTAAATTCTTATGGCTGCCGAATACAAGACATTCAAAAAATGAACTTTATCTTACAAACTAATATAAATGCAATACAATATTTTATAAACAACAACACAACAATAACAATGGCAAGGTACACTGAAACAAATAAAATTATTCAGTTTATTGGTGAGGGAGTTGAAGAAAATGAAATTATTGTATCATGTGACACTAAAAAATTAAATATTCTAGCTAAAAATTATGTAAAGTTAAAATATAGTGAAAACTTGGAAAAAAAAATATTGCTAAAAAAATTAAAGATTCTATCAAAATACTACAAGGCCAATTAGTCATCAACAATTCTAAATTTATTTTATCCTTAAAAACTAAATTACCGGCTCCAGAAACAATATTAATACTCAACCCTCCATTTCAAAATTTTTTTAATACACAAAGGATTCATCAAAACATACCAACACAAAACTACATCAATGACCAACTGCCACATCTGCAGAATATAAATGATCTTGACAATTTAATATCAACTATAATCATGTACAATATGTACCAAGCAATTGATGAGTAAGTGAAATTATACTTCAAACATACTACTAAAGAAATATTTCTATGTACTTTTTTTTTTTTTTTCAGTTACAAGGGATATGATCTGAAAGAAATTATGGAATTAAAAATTGATTTAATTAAACTGACCATAATAAAAAATTACATTGATTTAATTAATTTGCAAATAAAGGATGTCATTAGTGAGGATGGATTGCAAATCATCAACAACCAAAAATACATAAATAAGAATGTCATTTATGCAATTGACATTGAATTCAAAAAATTTATAAACCGGATAGAAAACTTTTGGATGCAAGCACAATTTGATTTGAATTTTGAAAATCCTGTGTAAGTTTTACTAAGTAATTATTACTTAAAACTTGTTTACAACTATACATATTACTCAAATAATTAAAATAAATAATGTTAACTATAAATTCAAACCAAATAGATATCCTACCATACAACATGATTGCAAAGTAATTTATTTTGATTCTGAGAGAACAGTGAAGTTTGTGCTACAATCCACTCCAGAATTTCATGATGTCCATTATAATGAATTGTTGGTGGTAGCTTGTTTGAAAACATACTTCAGCAATGCAGTCAAATCTAATAAAAGTACAGTATGTATTAATGATCAAAAAACAAATTAATACTTTTTTATTTATTTTATTAAATTATATTTTTTTTTTATTATTCTAGCTAAACAACATATATCAACATATAGAAATTATCAAAGTTATAACTAAATTCCAATTTATCAACAAAAAATATCTTAAAACTACTTTACAAAATTTAATTAATCAACAGTACATACATCAATATTCTTATTCAAATTATACAATATACAAACCAGCAGACAATGTAAAAATCGAATCCCTAATTTCAAAATTTAAATATATTGAAATGGTTCATGTCATACTGAACATAACAGAAGAAATATATTTAACAACAGCAATAAAATATGAGGTAATGTTGATTTATTGGATTTAAATATTATTCAAAAATTTAAATTATATTTTGTATCATATTTCAGCTATCAAGCAGTGTATACAACTATACAAACATCCCGCGCAGCCATAAAATGCAAGAAAACAAATGTATGGACAACATTCAACAGAAAGTATTATTTATCAAAAAATTTTTAAATTCAATAACACTAAATCAACATACAACAATTGGCACAATACACAATACATTCACAACAAAATTAACAACATACAAACAACTTTTGCACACAGTTTTAAATAGCTTACCCAAATCTCCCATCAACTATATTGTCTCAACCGATGAACTATTAGAATATCATACAAATTCAAATTTACAACTTCCTTCAGCCATTCCATCCACTACAACCTCAAAATATCTCAAGCAATCACTACAGACGTCACACACAAAATTCTATACCCAACATTCAGAACTACAGGATTATTTAGAAAAGTATTATAATTAAAATTGTTTAAAAAAAAATACATGTATATATAACTTAAATTTTTCTGCTGTTTGTATAATTTCAGTCCAAAAATAAAATTATTTGTTATTACTTAGTAAAATATTTTTTATATCCTTATATAATATATGTAATATGTTTTCTAACTTCTGATAATTTATAAATAAGGTTTCGCCAAAATATAAGCAGATAACAGTTTATCTTGATCCTTTAAGTATCTTTCTTCTAACCTAACCTAACCTTGAGAAGTAGAAGGAATGTTGCTATTTGTTTGTTCAATATTTGATACATTAGGCACCTGCACTTCAGCGTCAGCCATACTAGAACCTGCTTGCAAAAAAAAACTTGTAATTTAATATTATAAAAAATAAAAATAATAATTATTTGGTTTATTTACCTGATGAAATTCCAAAAATCGTATAAAATCAACCCTTCGACCAATCGTTTTGAAACTTACACACATAGTATAAAGTACCCCGAGATACCATGCCTGTGATCACCGAAAACTGCAAACCATCCTTACTTCCCTCCCCGTCTGCTGAACAAATGCAATACATGTTCAAAGAGGTATTACCGACCCCCCGCACCGCAGATCACTTCCCCACCCTAAACCACCTTAAATAATGGTTTGCAATGAACAGACAAAAAAAGAAACAACTATATATATATATAAAGGGTACGTACTCCGCTACCCTGTGGATGCATTTAGGAGGGTAACAATTGCGATGGATTTAATTAACAATACAATACAATACATTTTATAATTAAATAACAGTTTTAATTAATAAATAACAAATTAGAATTTCTTAGAATTATTTTTTTTCCGCATGCATTTTTAAATTTGTTTCAACCACTCCCACATAATAAACATAATGATGACTAATGGTTCTGAAACATGAAATGTTAATAAATCAATTAGTTATTTTTTAGCTTGAGGCAATAGGTAATTTATGTTTTTTATGATAACTTACATTTTGTCGTCGATGACGGTTTAATTGGTTAGGCGCGCCAAAAGCTTGTCCACAAGGTGGGCATTTATACGGACAAATATTGGTATGTTTTACATTATCATGGTAACGTAGGTTACGTCGATCTTTAAATACAATTTGGCATTTACTACATTTGTGTAGTACCAATAACTTGTGTTGCATATCTATGTGCATCTTTAGGTTGTGTTTCAATAAAAATGACCGTCCACATACTGTACAGTCGTGCCCTATACCACCAAAATGTGTGAGGAAATGCCTTTCTAAGTTGTCTCTGCGTTTAAATAATTTGGGGCAATATCTGCATTGGTGTACTCCATTCACGGAGTGTGTAGTGCTATGGTTCATGTACCAAGATTTATATTTGAATTGTTTTTTGCATTCTTTGCATTCATATAAGTCATCCGGAACTACATAAATATCAAAATGATGCATTAGTAAAAATAAAATATATAGTTTGCATTGTTATTACTTCTATCGGTGGTTGAATTGGTAGAATCACTACTATCATCATCATCATCAAAGTCACTGTTCACGCTATCAAATATTTCCCCCTCAGTTGGGTTTTTGACTGAATTCTGCAGGATGAGGTCCATACTTAGTGCTGTAATAAAAATATAATGTAATCAAAACAATGCTACAGATATATCCTTTTGCGTGCCCTTGCGGGGAACGTTTTGGCGCCCCCAACCTTAGGTGAGCATTGTTATTACCTATATTGGTATTCAAATTGCTAGTACCACTTATATCATCATCGTCGTTGTCACTATTCTGATCATCACTTTTGTTTATATTAATTGAGTCTTTCCCAGTTTGCTGTGTCACTGCATCTTGCTGTATGAGACCCATGCTTACTGCTGTAATAAAAAAATATAATGTATTAAAAACAATGCTGCAGGTGTAGATATTTGAATTTAAAGTTGGGACATATTGTATCATCATGCAGCATATGTATGATAATATATCATAAATTTGAAAAATTATTTTATAATAAATATTGTCCCTACAATCACATAAATGACATAAACAAAAAGCTTAGGTGAGCATTGTTATTACCTGTATTGGTATTCAAATTGCTAGTACCACTTATATCATCAACATCATCATCATCATCATCATAATCATCATCATCAAGGTGGTTTAGTGCGGGGAAGTGATCTGCGGTGCGGGGGGACGGTAATATTACGTAATATCTATCTATCTTGTTGTAATATATCACACCATTAAAATGGACAGACAATCCGAACGAGTGAAGGTAAGTATCAAGTAAGTATCATCAGGTAAGTATGTGATTTACGATCAAAAATTTAATATAATTAACATAATATAAATGAGAATAATGAAATAATGAGACATTACTTTGACGTCGGCGTGGATAATCATGTTATCAGATTATTTTGATAATAAGAAATACAGGGCCACTCGTTGCAGTGTGACCGTAGAGAGGGAATATTGTGTTGATGGCTTGCCACAAGACAGATGATACACTCGTCAGCTATTACGACAACGACGACGAAGGCGACACAGCGGGTGGAAGGGGGTCCGTGCATAGAGCGTTGACGGCTGTGCTATCATTGGTTGTAGCTGAATACCGTAATCCTAACAACCACGTGAATAATATGAAGCATGAAGTCAAACGTTATTTATCATCGCCTGCCAATATAACAATTGATAAGATGTTTGTTTGTTTTTTTTTTTTTTTGATATTGTAATGTAATAATGAACAATAATTATTGTGATGCTTGCTATATTAAATTTAAGAACCGATCAACATTCCTGTGCCATTTGGCAAGTAATCATCATGGACCATTTCCTCTTGTCAACGCCACAAAAATTATTGATGGTGATGCCAACAAAAGTAATTTGAACATAATGTACTTACCAATGAGTTATAGTAGTTATACTAATATGTTTTTCTGTTACTTTTCAAAGTCCTTTCGTTCAGGGGTCGGCAACTTTTTTTGGCGTATTTAAAGCAATTCATATTATGTCCTCGCTTTGCAGCGTTAGCACACGTAGTTTCGTACCACCGACAGTCGTTCTCGTGAGTGTAAATCTAGCATTTCATTCATATAATATTGTACATCGTGAATGTAAAAAAAATGTTAACTACCACTAAACGATCACGACTTGTGAGTAAACAAGTGGTCTCTTTCACTGTTTTTCCAAATAATATGTGCAGAATTTGCCTCGCCACGTCAGTCCTCTGATTAAACCGAGTCAAACTGCTTAAAAACAATTTTATGTCCACTGTAGAAATTTTACTATAAGGTTTATTTAAGTGCTGGCTAGTGAAAGCCCTCACGAAAAAACTTTATACTAGGTAGGGTAAAACAGTGGACTAGGACTATCGGTGATACCACTATAAAAAAAACGCACCATATGCAATGGCCCCTTGGGCGGTGTGGAACGATTGCAAAAAACTTGTTATGGTTATAAGGTAAAAGTCAATAGTATATATAATAGTATATAATATATATTTTTTTTTATTTATATTAATATAATAATGTGTGTCTATATAGTGAGCCGGGTGAGTCTATATAATATGACGTTCTCTACACTATGCCGGGAGAGTCTATACAAACAGTACCACTATCACCGAAAACTGCAAACCATCCTTACTTCCCTCCCCGTCTGCTGAACAAATGCAATACATGTTCAAAGAGGTATTACCGACCCCCCGCACCGCAGATCACTTCCCCGCCCTAAACCACCTTAAATAATGGTTTGCAATGAACAGACAAAAAAAGAAACAACTATATATATATATA